CAAAGCTTCATTTGTATTTACAGCTGCTCCCCATTACTCCTATTACTGCCTGAGTTCCACCTCCTGTCAGATTAGCAACAGCATTAGGTTCTCATAGAAGTGTGAACCCTGTTATGAGTATGTGAGGAATCTAAATTGCATGCTTCTTGTGGGGATCTAATGTCTGGCAATCTGAAGTGGAGCTTGAGGTAGTGATGCTAACGCTGGGGATTGGCTGCAAATACAGATGAACATTAGCAGTGAGGTTTGCCTGCACAGAGACCATAATCAATCAGTTGCTTGCAGACTCAGAACCCTGTCACTTGAGTGGCAAATGAGTTGACATACTTCAGTTGTACAACTGCATCTGGTGGCAGGCTTTAAGTCAGAATCCGACACTTATTTTAGTTGAAAATAAATAAATAAATAAGCCCACTTGTTCATGCCTCTTTTTATGATGAGTTGTATAATTATTTCATTATATATTACAATGTAATAATAATAGAAATAAAGTGCACAATAAATGTTATACACTTGATTCATCCCGAAACCATCCATTCCTCCCCTGGTCTGTGGAAAAATTGTCTTCCATGAAACTGGTCCCTGATGACAAAAAGGTTGGGGACCACTGATAAAGGTTTCATGGTGTTGAGAACTAGCTCCCGAATGTTTTCTTTCAAATTAACACCACATCTTCTGAATTAAAGGAGAGTGGTAAACATAGAAATGAGTGTATTATGCAAATCTGAAGTGATTGTAGTCTCTTAAACTTATAATAAGGGAGTATGTTCTACTACTGAAGAAATAGAACTAGAGAGAAATACAGTTAAAAAAAAGGGGGGTAGCCACCAGCTATGATGCATACCAGCCTTTAGCATGCTGGGCTGTTCAGGCTGGTGGAGTTGTCCCTTCTGGTGGAGTGGAACTGTTGACAGTTCTGTTTTGGTCCATGCCACCATGTGCCAGCCTATGTATATTTTTCCTCTTCCTTTATTTTTTTGTAATATTTAAGTTATATATATTATTTGAAAGGAGTTTCTAATGTGATCATAGTTAATAATAATAGTTTTCATATTGAGAGTTTTCTGTGTGCCAGACTTACTTATTTTTGATTTGGAGTCTCACTTTGTGGCCGAGGGTGGAGTGTGTGTGGCATACTCACAGCCACCCCAGTGTCGATCTACTAGTCTCCGGTGATCCTTCCTCCTCAAACTTCCAAGTAGCCTGAACTACAGGCATGTGCTACTACGCCTAGCTAATTTTTGAATTATTGTAGAGACAAGGTCTCAACAAGTTGCCTGGGCTGGTCTGGAATGCGCGGGTACAGGCAATCCACTTGTCTCGGCCTCCCAAAGTGCTGGGATTACAGGCTGAGCCACCGAGCCTGGTGTCAGATTTATTTCATTGTTTGAGCTTTATTTGTTTATTTATAAAGAGGAGAAAACCTAGAGGAGTTAAGTAACTTGTCCAAAGTCACATAACTAAAGAATGTTAAAGCCAAGATTAAACCCAGATCAACCTGACACTGTAGTTTGTGATCTTATTTTTTTTAACTGGTTTTTATGGTTCACTTCACACTGAAGAATATTTAGAGCTTTCAGAATTGGACTTCAAAGAGCCTTCTTAATATCATCCAGTAGAAGGACAATGAGCTCCCCTGGTTTTACAGTTCCAAATTTCTAGGGTAATTAGGTTTTGAAGAACAACTAGTAGAGGGGAGAGTGCTATATGAGTATGTGTATACAAAGTTAATGCGTTCCTGATAGATCTTTAGCTAAGTAGAGGATAGCCAACTATTTTCTATTTAAATCATTTAATAGAATTAGAATTAATTTAGGAAAATCATAAATCAACTTGGAAAGTAATTTTTTAGGTTTCTTTGCTTTTTATTTGATTTGCTATCCATATTAATGCATTGTAATCTAACCTTTAATTTGGTACTTTTCACTATTATTTTATAAGGCCAGTCAGGTTCTTTTTTTTTTTTTTTTTTGAGTTGGAGTCTTACTCTGTCGTCCAGAGTGGAGTGCAGTGGCACTCTCACGGCCACCCCAGTGTCTACCTGCTGGGCTCCAGTGATCCTTACACCTCGTCCTTCCAAGTAACCGAACTACAGGCACGTTTGATCATGCCTGACTATTTTTGATTTATTGTAGAGACGAGAGCTTGCCAAGTTGCCTGGGGCTGGTCTTGAACCCACGGGCTCAGGCAATACACTTGCCTCGGCCTCCCAAAGTGCTGAGATTACAGGCTGAGCCACTGAGCCTGGCAGCTTCTTTAATATTAGAGAAAGAAAGCAAACTACAGTTTTGTAACTGCCTAGCTGTTTAACTTCCACTTCTATTTTACATTAATTCATTCTGATGCTGCAGCTTAATTTTTGTGATCTTAAACCCCTGAAAACCTTCCATTACAAATTTTGCATTCATTTTATTTTAAAGAATGTTTTTAACTCTATTACACTGTCCAATATGATAGCTAATAGTTGCATGTATTAAGCTCTTTAACCATTTGCACTCGGATGTCCCCTCTGAGAAGACATCATCCCTCTAAGAAACCACTTGATTGTCTACTCTAAAGGGACATAAAGAGATTGCTGGTGATTATGCAGGACATGCCATGCAAATTTTTCAAAAATGTATGTTTCCTTGAAGTTTACCATTCAAATTGCACAAAAAAGTAAATAAACAGATGAAATATATACTGAGATATACATTAAAATATCAAGCATTGTTACATAGAAAGAGAATGTATGAAATGCTTTCACAGTGGTAAACAGACTGGACAATAAGTTATGTATTATTAATGTTGGAGGAAGAGAATGAGACTGCATTGTCTGCTCAAATATGAAAACACCAGTTGAAACACATCAGACAAATTACTATTGCACAATATGTATCAGTGAACCTGCAATGCATTACCACATGTTAGAAAAATATAAGATATAAAATTTTGATTTTTTTAAAGTCCTATACAAGTTTCTCAATGTCTAAAATTCCATTATAAGCTAAATATTACAATAAGATAATTGGTTCCAATGCTATACTATTTAATATGAAGTGATTTGTTTTTCACATTTTGTAAAAAAAAAAAAAAAAGAGGTCCAGTTGCTAGTAGGTGATCTGCAAGATGTCTCTGAGTGCAGAGGGTTAAATATGGCTAGTTTAAATTGAGACGTGTTGTAAATGTAAAAAACATGCTGGATTCTAAAGACTTAAGAAAAAAAGTGAGTATCCCAATTTGTAAAATACTGATTACATGTTGAAATAGTAGTTTAGGTTAAATCCAATCTTATTAAAATTAATGTACCTTCTTTTTACTGTTTTTACTGTTTGTTTTTATTTAAATGGTCTGACTGCCGCCTTTTGTCTGGAGCTGAACCCTTTTTACTGTTAATCGGGCTATTAGAAACTTTCAAATTATATAGCAAGAGTGCCAAAAAAATGTATACACCTTTTTTTTTTGTTTTGAGTTGGAGTCTCACTCTGTTGCCCAGGCTGGAAGGCAGTGGCATGCTCATGACCACCCCAGTGTTGACCTGTTGGGCTCAGGCAATCCTTCCGCCTCAGCTTTCCAAGTAGCCGGAACTACAGGCGTACACTACCATGGCCGGCTAATTGTATACACATTTTAAGAGGTATTCACCATAATCAGAAGTGTCGAGATGCTGATGGTAACCACTTGGAGCACCTCTTGTAATTGCCCAAGTCAAATGTGCCCAAGTCATCTTATTATTACAATTATAATACAGTTTTTCTTTCTTTCTTAAAATGTGTATGCATATTTTTGGTATCTCCTGTATGCGGCTTGCATTTGTGGTTTGTATTATATCTCTATTGAACAGTGCCAACATGTGTAATTAGTAATGTCAAAATCTAAGCTGTAAGAGTTAGATAAACCTGGCATATACATGTATGTATATGTTTTTAGTTGTTTCTCTCTAAAGACTAAAATTCACTAGTCAGACAGTTATGATAAAAATGTTTATTTAAATACTTGGACCTATATTGTTTGGGTTTAAGGAAAAGCTGTTGATAACAAAGTAGATACAGAAACCTCCTGTGAAAACTTTCCCTTTGGGTACAGCTGTTGCTAGGGGAGGTGTGATTTAGAGCATTCATTAGAATGATAGGTGAAAGAAACAGAAAAGTGATTTGTTTAATGAGATATACTAGTAGTACAGGTCATAACATAACTTTTAGTGAATCAGATTTATTTTGAAGAGTACAGTATAAATCACATTGATTCTTTAGTATATTTTCTTAAAATGTTTCTGATATTTGAGATGTTTGTGATACTTTTCTATAGTTTTATTAAGAATGAAATAATTTGAAGCAAAATTGAAAAAAAATGGTGTTTCTTGGTCTGCAGTATTTTTTGTAATGCCAAACTTTATTTTTTGGCTTTGATGCAGTTTTATATTTGGGAACTTGATAAGGTAAACTATTTGATAAAGTTTTAAGATATTTTCTTAAAATTATTAAGCTTTATGGGAGTGAAGTCTAGCAATAAGTCCTACAGTAAGTCTACTTACAGTATGAGTAATTTATTTATCTGACTACTCTTGTATTACTCTGAAGGAGTTGAAGGATTGGTCTTTGTAAAGTGATGCTTAAAATGAGTTTATAGTTGTTCATTGTTTGAAACTTAAGATACCAATATCAAGGTCATGTACTAAAATATAGTAAAAAAATTAAAAAATATTTGTTCTGTTTTCAGTATATTTGTTTCATTACTTGAGGTCTCTATTTGCTCTGCTAGCCTTTTCTTAGCAGTAGATGATTTTTTATGTTTTATGTTATATAGATGATTTTATCTGGCAGCCAGGGGAAGAGTTTGTGCTAAAGCAGTATAGCTTTCTCTTTTTGTGATTTACCTCCCAGCTTTGTTTACTGGCAACACAGCCAAGGAGAAACTGAACCAGTGATGTCCTTGAAATTGGCCTATTTAAGGGATTATTCACTAGTGTTCTGCTTTCTTATACATAAAACTCTTAATATACTTTCATATTAATTTTACAGATCCTTCTGCTGAGGAATTGAGAAAGCTAATGATGTTGCATGGAGGACAGTACCATGTGTATTACTCCAGATCCAAAACAACACATATTATTGCCACAAATCTTCCCAATGCCAAAATTAAAGAATTAAAGGGGGAAAAAGTAATTCGACCTGAATGGATTGTGGAAAGGTAAGCTTAATTTTAAAAATTCATTTAATTAAATAATAAGTTATTTAAAAATTAGATTACTTTTTAAACATATTTTTTATTTTAAAATTGTGGGGTACAGTTAAGGGTTAGGTATACAAATATGCATTGTGCAGGTACCCTTGTTGATGAGGTGTGCCCCGCCGCGATCCCCAGAGAGATATTGACTACCTTTAATCCACCTTCCTTCCCCTTCCTACCCCCCATAGTTTCCCGCCACAGTCAATCCTTTTCTTACAGTATTACGATAGTTGTTCAAGGTCCACTGATGAATGAGAACATGTGATACTCAGATCTTTGCTTCTGTGAGAGATCACTCAGTATTATAAACTCGAGTTCCATCCAGGTTGCTGTGAAATTCATGATTTTATTCTTTTTTATGGCTGCGTAATATTCCATTGTGTATCTGTACCACATTTTTTTAATCCAGTCCTCTTTTGATGGACAGCATGGTTGGTTCCATGATCTTGCTATTGTGAACAATGCAGCGATAAACATACATGTGCAGGTATCTTTTTTATAGAGTGATTTGAGTTCTTCATGGTATATTCCCAGTATGGGGATTGCGGGGTTATATGGAAGGTCAATTTTTAGAGCTTTTGGGAATCGCCACACTGATTTCCACAGAGGCTGCACTAGTTTACACTCCCACCAACAGTGCAGAAGTGTTCCCTTTTCACCACATCCTCTCCAGCATCTGTTATTTTTTGAGTTATTGATA